ACTCACAAGACTGGCTTGAACATGGGCAGGCAAGAACTCCACTGAACCCCAGATCAAGGCTCCCACACACTCTGTTGGCCTGAAGGGTGGTAAGTGAAAGACACTGTTTCCCCATTTAACATCCTGGATTGAAATCTGCTTTCAAATACAGCATAAACCTGTATATTCTGTGTTTTGTATTGCTACGATTCCCATACCAGAAAATTCACAGTTTTATAGGGGGCATCCACGGGCTCAACCATGTTCCCACGGCTGGGCAATGGTCATCACCAACTAGAACATTCCCACCACCCCGTTAGTACTCACTCCGTATTTCCTCCCCGCACTCCCAGCCCCGGGCACCCACCAGGCTCCCTTTGGATTAGCCTATTCTGGACACTCTATATGAGTAGATGATAAGTGGCCTTTTGTATCTGGCTTATTTTACCCCATGTGTTTTTTACATTGTGATAAAATACACATAATGTAAATTTGTTTTAATCACTTTTAAGTACACAGTTCAGTTGATATTGTTATGCAATCATTACCACCATTAATCTCCAGAACTATTTCATCTTCCCAAACTGAAACTTTGTACCCATGCATATCCTTAAGGTTCACCCATTCCATAGCATGTGTATCGGTCAGCTTTCCCATAGCTGTGATGAAATGCCCAATACCTGCAATTTGGAATAGAAAGGATTTATTTTTGCTCAGTTTCAGCAGTTCCAGTCCACGGCGGGTGGCTCCAAAGCAGAAAGATCATGGCAGAAGAGCGTGGTGAAGCAAAGCTGCTCACCTCATGGCGACCAGGAAACAGAGCACCGGGGAGGAGCACCAGCGAGACACGCGCACTCCAAAGCCACACCCAAGTGACCACCTCCTTTGACTGGGTCCACCTCCTAGTTTAGCTATGAACATCAGTGGGTGAGAACAGCACTCCCACACTCTAAGTTCTTCTCTGGGAGTCTCTTAACCCAGTCAAGTTGACAATCAGTATTGACTTGCACAATATGTTCACATGATCTATTCCTTTTGATAGCTGAATAATATTCCACAGTGAGAACAGACATTTTGTTCTTTAGTTCATCAGTTAATGGGGCATTTGTATGCTTTTCACTCTGTTATTATGAATAACGTTGCTATGAACACTGTGTACAGACATTTGTTTGAACATAGCTTCATTTCTGTTTGGTTTATACCTGGAGAAGAGCTATTACATTATCGGAAACCTATGTTTCACTGAGGAATTATCAAGTTTTCCAAAGTGGCCACACCATTTTACATTCCCACTAGAGGCCTGCAGCTTCACCACCTCATGGCCAGCGATTGTTATTTCCTATCTTTTAGGTTGCAGCCATCCTACTGTGATGTAGCATCTCATTCTTGTGCTTCCTAACGAAATAATGGTTTTTTATCTATTCATTAGTCAGTTGCATATGCTCTTTGGAGAAATGACTATTCAAATCATCTGCCTAGCTTTTAAATTGGGCTATTTGTCTTTTCACTGTTAAGTGTTCCTTATATATCGCAGATACAAGGCCCTTACCAGAAGTATGATTTGCAAGTATTTTCTCCTATTCCATGGGTTGGGTTTTCTTTTCGTTCTCTTGAGTGTCTTTCTAAGCACAAAAGCTTTTAATTTGATGAAGTGCAAGTAACTCTTGTTTTCTTCTGTGGCTTGTGCTTTAAGGTGCAATGAAACACAAGTTGTGCGGGTGGGGGTGTGGGTGGGGGAGGCAGATACCTACTAGACGCAGCTCTTTATCACAAGCAGCCTGCAGTCTATTCTGGGGATCCTAATGCCAAACGCACTAATGCAGCCCTAACCTAATTAAGTAACAATATTTGGCCTACAAACTAAAAAACATTTTAAGATACAGGGTCTCATTACCTTGCCCAGGCTGACCTCCAACTCTTGGACTCAAGTGATCCTCCTACCTCAGCCTACCAAGTAGCTGGAAAGACAGATGAACACCACCAGGCTGGACCAAACTGAAAGTTCTTAAAAGCTCCAAAGATCATTCTAACAATGTGTAGCTAGAGAGGAGAAATATTGACCTAGGTTTTTATAAATTAAGATTTGAAAATTAAACAAACAGACTGA